TAAAAGCAAATTAAAAAAAAAATAAAAAAAATAGTTACATTAAAATATATAATTAACCTTCAATACATTTTTTCGCTATGTACTATAGTTTATGAGTTTAATTCACAATACTGCGAAACTACCTTCTATGACAAATTTTCAACCCTCTTGAGGCACGGGAAGGGAGTGAGTCATCATGATCAAATTTAGTTCCAATTACTTACTGATTATAATGAACAAAATGGCGGGTACCTGGCTTGAAATTTTGAAAGTTAAAAAATAAGGACCACCCTAATATATATATATATATATACACGGAAAAAAAAGAAAAAACCGTAAAACATAAAAAGCTTATAAGACCACGTAATTGGTATACTTATTAATATTGCATTGCTATACGGAATCTAAAAATATTTTTATATGGAAAATATATTGTATTTCACTAAAGAATTCATACATTCTATTATACTCGGTAGTACATAAGTATATGCTGCCTGCCAAAGAGAATTACAAATAACTACGTTGCTACCATTATAATAAATTATGTACTAGGTACTTAATTTAATCTCATAATACTAAGGATTTGTAATTAGCGTGTTTCAAACAATTTAAAAAATTAAATATCTTAAGTTTTTCTAATTCTGTAGTATAAAAAGCCAGGAAATCTCACGAACGAGGATTTTAATACAATAAACTCGGTATAATTGTACAATAATTGTTGAAATTGATGTTTGAGTGAATTTAAGGATTGTGGTATTTAGCACAAAAAGTAACACGACTTTATTATAATTATAAAAATATAATATAAATGTAAAATATGACTGATCTAGACACACATCGTATGACGTACCGTGTCCGAGAGTGAGTCTTGTATACCACAATATCCTTATTTATATACGTCATTGACGTCATATAGTCATATCTATGTGTGTATGTGATATTAATAAGTACCTATTGATTCGCATTACAGTAGATAGTTAAACTATGATACATAATATATTGTTACGCGCACCCGTGTGCTTACAATGTATGCGTACCGATATTAATTGTTTATTTCAACACTCTCCCTCATTTAATAATTTCTTTGTTTTTAATCACTTCTATGGCTGATGACAATTTTTCGAAACGATCCTTGACCAACGGCTTGGTCATGATGTCTGTAATCTGGTCCTCTCTCCCAATCACAGATACATACAATAAATAGATAGCTAACTAGCACAACATTTGGAAGTCAACCGCCATATGTGTGGTAGTCAATATTTACATTAATTATTGTTATTATTTCATATCATTATAAAATATAATTTAAATTAAAGTGTTATAGTAATTTAATATATTTATTATAAAATTATAAAATATACAATAAAATTTTTAATTACGTATGACTAATGTGTATAACTATGTAATATAATAATATATAAATGTATATATGTTTGGAAGCTGTTGTATATATCTGCGATTATGTCTTTATAATATAACAATATGATAATAAATTCAAACTTATAAAGTGATAACAAACAAAAACATTGACTACCATGCATATGGCTTTCGGCTTCTTAATCATAATACGTCAGACATAATCAGTTAGCTATCTAGTTATTGTATATATCTGTGATCCCAATGTACTGGGGTTGAAATAATCCGTGATCATACTTTTCTCTAATGAAATTATATTGTACATCTATGTGTTTGGTCCACTTGTGAATTTCCGGATTTTTCACTAAACGTTTAGCACTTTGATTATATATATATAATATCTATATATATATATATATATATATATATATATATATATATTGGTTGTTTACCTCCTATTGTTTATAAGCTTTTATTCAACAGATTTATCCACATGATTCCTTTTACTGCTTCACTTATCGCAATATATTCTGCTCCCGTTTACGATAATGATACACAGTTTTGTCTTCGTGAAGTATATGATACAACAGCTGATCCATATATGAACAAATATCCTGACGTCGAACGTCGTGTTTCAATGTCACCTACATAGTCAGCTTCGCTGAATATTTCCAATGACAACTCTGCGTTACTACCAAAATATAAACCATAGTTAAATGTTATTTTAATCTAACATATTGTACGTTTAGTTAAATTCCAATGTGCCTATTTTGGATTTGTTAAAAAACGACTATCAACATTTACTGCATATGCAATATCTCATCGGTTCTTAACCTTTGTGTAGTGGCGACCCAAGATATTTACCCAATTTTTCCTGCGACCTTTTTATAAATAATATTCAATGGCAGAATAAAAAATAACTATTTGGTACTCTTAATTGAATTACATTTTTTACTCATATTACTTATATTCATAACACGTCATAATATTAATTACATTATATTTAAAAATAAACATTTCTTTTAATAATATTGTATTGTTTTTTAAATAATTTTTAATTTAATGACTTCCTTGGTCTTGATGTTGCTTTACCAATGAATCAATTTAGAGTTCTTCTATGGAGTTAGTAAGTGAAATACGCATCGTGGGTTCGACATCAAGCTTGTTGATTTAGTTTTGATTGTAGTTAATATCTTTATTACAACATGTAAAAATATTAGTTAATGGCCTTTGCATACTCAAATATAACTCATTTAATAACGAAAAAATATTTGATAGATACGCAACTTTTGTCAACCAAATTATATCTTGAAAATGGATGGATAACAGTGAATTTTTTTCTCTTGAAAATACTTCTATTTCAGTTTTTAATTTAAAAAATCTCGTTAAAATTTTTCTCCATGATAACCAACGTACATGAGGTTTCATTTATTATTTATAAGGCTTAAAAATAAAAATATTATACTAACGTATTAAATTGTTATCCAACCCATTTAAAATTATTGGTGACCCAAAATTGGGTCGCGACCTTATGGTTAAGAACCGCTGCAATATCTGGTTTTGACACTTGAAACAAGAACAATAAACTCACCACTGCTTGTCGATAAGGTATCTCGTCATTTAATATTTTCAATTCTTCCTGGTGGAATTTTTTTGTGTGAAGATAGAAAGAATTTTTGTCATTTTTAAAAAATCTTCGTGATACTGACACATATATTATATTTTGGTTTTTTTTTTTTATTTTGGTCGACTTACTGAAGCATTATTGTCAACAGAACGAGTAACAAATTTATCCATGATTATAATCATAAGTAAAACAAGTAAATAAATACATCAAATTTATTTTTTAAAGAATACTACAAATACGGCGTTAATGTCCAGGTCGATTGCAACGGATATACTGCCAGATGTTTAATAATATTACCTATACATTTTATAGTTCAATAGTTATCTAATATTACTTATAACCAGTGTTGTGCTTTGATAAAAAAGTTATCTAGATATAGATAAGATATCTGGATTTAAAATTATCTAGATATAGATAGATAAAATAATTTTTATCTAGATATTTATATAAGGCATCTACGTTTTCATCCGTTTGTAAGCGAACTCTTTTGGTCTTGGGTAATGATTATATTATGTAATCAACCATTTCAAAATATAAAATATTTCACCAATAAAATAAAATTGAAAGTCATAGACAAAATTATGAAAAATATGAAGACGATCTGACGATGAACACGTTGTAGATGAGAGGGCGCTGCGTACAGTACAAGGTTTTAATAAATAATGTACGTTTCACGCCTAATATTTATTTTGTTGTTCAATAATATTATGTAGACACATCAAAGTACGAATTCATAGAATTGGGGTCCGGTAATGACAATTATTTAGAGCATATGATTACATGAAAAATGGACATAGTTTATATATAAATATTGAATTTAAGGCGGTTGAATGGTGATGGAGAACGATCAATTTCTGTGTAGGTACAGCTTCATGCGTATTGTAATATTGCTATTTTCTTATCGACAGTTATTTCTGTATTTTAGTATTTATAAACCATCTATCACGCAGCTGCAATAATAACCAGTTAGACCTATGGTGCGTTATCTCTGGTTCTAATATTCTAGTAAATGCTCTTTCGGCGTTCTTAATACCACAGAACAATAGTAATACGGGCATGAGACTTCCCGTATGGGCCATACTATGAAATTATAAGTAATTCTCACTCCCATGCATATTAGGTAGGTAATATATGTCTATATACATAATAAATTGTCATTATTCATAATTTATAGTAAATGCTGCGTAAAACTATTTTAGAACCAATTTTTGCAAGTAAATATACAAATTCAATTTCTTATTTAGTTATTTATTTTATATTGAATGATAAAATTTTAGATTAGTTATTACTAATGATTAGCTACAGATTTTGTGAATTATCTAGATAAATTTATCTAGATAGCTATAATTTTTATCTAGATGAAAATTAGATATCAATTTTATTTTTTATCTAGATAACATATCTAGATAAATTTAACTAAAGCACAACACTGCTTATCACTTAACTTCCTAAAATCTGTCAATTTATTAATATAACATATTAAATATATAAATATATCAAATGCATAACGCATTGGACATATTTATTGTCTTATATTACTATTCAATGCGATCGTTAACTGAAGGAAAAAAATTTTCAGAAGACCTCGGCCTACTGGAACCAGTTTTATTATTTCTTTACATTGTTTGTTCGAATAATATTGTTTTCATCTAAACGAAATAATACATCTTTAGTTGTAATTATTTCAAAAGAAAAAAAGTGCAGAAGATATTCTAATGATTGGAATATCATCTGTATATTTATTTAACAATTATAGTTGAACCCTTATGGGACACCCTACATAAAATGCTGTAAGATCATTGTACAGGATTTTGATAAGATTTTCCTCAATACACAATTAAAAGTATTTAAATACTAATGTAACTTAAAAGTATTTAATGTTGAGTCTGATGAATTTAACTAATCGAATTTTTTACGTGTACACCACTTGCTTAGTACATTTATCTCGATTGGATACTTAAAAAAGAAGTACCCGTTTATTTTTTATTCGAAAACAGTTTGTACGTGGTCTTAATTTTTCAGTGTACCTATGTTTAAGGGTTCGAATGAAACGGGAAAATACTGAAATACGAAACACGACAATAAGAAAATTGTTCCCCACCAGTGAAATAACAGAGCGTTCAAACAAAACCGTGTGCGCTCTCTGGCGGTTAAAACTACGACCAACAGTCGGACCGGCTAATACCAGTGATACTCGCTGGCGACAAAACGTCGAAACGTCATCCAAACCCGTGCAACAACTCTAGATAGAGACACCCTGAGGCTTTGAAGAATAATATTATGTTGTAATTTACTTACCTCTTTACTTGTGATAAAATACGAAAACATTTGGTGTACCGTTCCGTTACAAGTGTTGGCCGTATGGACGCCGCACAGTGGTCCGAATCGTTATTTAACTTGGCAAAAGTCCATTTTTAGAATATAAAATTTATCAAGTTCAGTAACAACATTGCACAATCCATAAAGGATCCTAACTATTAACCAAGAGCGACAATGAGGATCGTAAATATAAGTGAGTATGGTAAACTATTATAATAATTATAAGTACTGATAATTATTATCAATTGAATGATGAAAAACACCCATCAGTACAGAGCTACGTGTATCGTTGTATCAAGTTGCATAGGTATTTGTCAATTTTTTTTTTTTTTTTTGTGTATTCCGCAAGCATTAAGCTCATTATTTTTTTTCTTATATGGAAAATCAACTATCGAGTAAGTAATACAATAATTTTCACTCTAACATACATGTTATCAAGCGTTTAAACAAAAACTATTATCTTGTTGTATACATTTAAAATATATAAGATTTAATTGTATTTAATTGCCCATGCATTTATAGTGGTTTTAATATTTATGTAATAGCACTGATATAAATAGTAAAAAAATTGTTTCCTATTCAAATTTTTATCATTTCAACTTAATCAACTAAATATTTATATAATAAATTAAACGAAAAATATAAGCTTGAAATCTTTAGATTTTATGTTTTGTTATATTTGTGGTTTTATGTACATTCAAGTGTCCATACAATTTGTCAATATGTTGCGGAAGTAGTAAAAAAGGTGCTTTTACCTAAAAATAGTTAATATAACTAAAAAAAAATAAAAACTGTTATTCTATTAAAAGTATTAACAATTCTAAAATATTAAATTCAAACACATATTAATTAAGTTTTATATGTTTTATAATTTGTTAGTTTCACCCACTAATCTCCAATATTAGAAATATTCCATCTGTAAAAAAAAAAAAAAAATTGGCTAATAATATCAAAGTTTTACTCATTTTTTATTTAAATTGAGAATAAAATGTAACTGCAGATTCCGATTCGACCTTGTATAAATATTTTAATTTTTATTATTTTTATAAATGTATATAAAATATATTTAATTCAAAGTATTAATACGAGTAGTTAACTTGTTTATTGTTGAATATAAATTTATATTCTTTTTGAAAATTAAAAAATAATTTCAATTTCTTATTTGTTAACCTCAAAAACATAGATTATTTAGGTAATAAGTAATAACTAATAATTAATGAATATAAGGTTATAATAATTTCGGAAATCTATACAGGGATTTAGGCAACAATGCACCATATCTGTGACTCTCAATACCTACTAACGAGCACAGGATCTAGTAAGGTTTAATAAAACAGATGTACTTTTTAGAATATTAAAACCCACCGATACGCTTGGAACTGTTCTCGTTCTTTTTAATCTCACGACATCTCAAAACATAATTTTAAGTTTCTCTTTAAATGCATTGCACAAATTTAAGAATTAACAAATAATAGTTGGTACGTACTTTTAATGTTCGAATACAAATAAATAGACGCGTAATTTCGTTTTATTTTTTTTTTTTAGTTTGACGCAGTTGTAGTACAAATATAGAAATTTAAGGTTTTTTATTTTATTTACGGAACGCTTTACAAACTGGGCTGCAATGTATATTTTACATAACATCATCCGGTAATGTTTGTTTTACTAATTGAATTGATTAATGTTTCATAAAATAAGCAGATATGCTACATACTTTCTAAAACTACAACACTGAAAACGTTTATAAATCAATCGTATAAAAAGTTACTTATGTTCCATTTAAAATGTTATGCCACAAAAAACTTTTTGTAAATTATTATATTATTATATTATATTATTCGTAAATTATTATTATTATTGTAGTTAAGGGAATGGATGCCTCATAATAAACCAATAATTGAAAAACTAAAATAAACATTTAATCAAACTATAAATGTCAAAAAGGAAAATTCATAAAAATGTAATTGTAATTTTAAAATTTTAAAAGTAAAATAACTAAATTTAAAATGTACTCTCCTATTCCCTCTGCATATGAAAACACAGCATTGATGGCACTCTGATTTTATTCTTATTGGTACAAAATACACAATGTACCTCGTATCCGTGATAATTAACGATTTTATTTAAAATCTTTAAAATTACTTAAACTTCCGACTCCAGTCAGAAAATAAATAAAACCAGGAATCAATAGAAAGTTATGAAGAAAGAGAGAGAGACGAAGAATGAATAGAGATCGTTCGGACAGCTCGTCGATTGCCTGTTGCGAACGTCAATAGTCCGTTAAAAAGTGTACGCTAATGTTATGAATAATAATTTATTACATAATAATATAGTAAAATATACAAAAAAAAAAAAAAAATAAAATAAAAAAAATAGAATTATAATAAACAAATAAATAAAACCGGCAAAAATGACACGAATCAGGAACAGACGAACATACGGTTTTGTTGGTGTAACATTATTCGCAAAGCAATTTAAAATTAATATTATTCGGCGGCGAGCACTCTGTGAGCGCGAAACTGTATAATATTATAAATAGTACGCGAAATTCGTAGTGACTGCCGTTATAAAAGTCGTTGTATACAAGAGCATCGCACGTCGGAATCGTGTTAATTACTCCCCCCTCCATCTCGGGTGTCATTTACATATTTTCACCGTTACGATATTGTGCGTTTGTAATATAATAAACACGATGGACCTCAACCAAGAAAAATAGAAATAAGGAAACCAAAGGGGAAAACAGTCGTGCACGCCTCGTGGTGTGTTGTACACGCTCATGTATACAATTGCTCAGAGATAGAATACGCTCATGCAACAAAACCGTATTAATTTATAACATACACATGTCGTTAATTACATGAACTTAAATTTAAGAAAAAAAAAAACAATTTTACCAAAATATTAAACATTAAACCTACATTGTAATTTTATAATCGTCATTCCTTGTACTAAAACACAGCCTTTTTAGTTACTATAGATAGTATTGTCTTGGCTCGAGCTGTTATTAGTTGTCGCGTGTTTCATCAAAGTTTTAATAAATATTATCATTATAATTTTTGTTTCTTTCGTAACAGTAAAAGTCGTCCAAGACCAAATTTTATTCCAGCATTCGACCAGTTTTCGGCCTATCAAGAACTTTTCACTCGTTAACTCGGCAGGATTCCTTTATTTTAGATTTGGTCTTCGACAGGTTTCTCTGTACGTAATATTATGATTTCGTCTTCAGAAGAACCCGATCGACTGCAGCTCGTCAACCCGAATAGTATATTATATATTATAATACATGCGTATTACCTTAACACCATTATTTAGTGTCTATTATGGTAATAATAATTATTATTATTGGGTATTTTATTATTAATATCACGAACTACGTACAAAGTATGTCTAAGCTATACATAAAAGATACTTTCCAATGCTAAACATAGTTAAAAAGACAATATTATTATACGTACGTAACATGTATGTATAATACAAAAAAATTATTATTATAATAATAAAAATAATAATAATTATAATTAAAACACTCGGAATCCCGTTAATTGATATTTAAAAGATTAAAAAGACGTATCAAATTGTTCATCTTCAAAAAAAAAAATGCGTCCTAACCGGTTGTATGCCCATATCGTACAACATTATTTAAACATGGATGAACAACTACCGAGGAGTAAATATGATTATAAAAAATATTATAACACGTCGTTAAGAGTTCTCGAGGAACAACAATAATAATGTAATGTAGTCACATCGACTTGTTTTCCATCGGTTGTCTATAAACACTATAGCAATATTATGCATAACAATAATATGTAATTAAACTAGTGGTTCTCGACAGCCACCGCTGGATCGTATATTACACGATTCGAATGAAAAAAATAAAAAATTACCTACGTTTTAATTCGTTCGTTGTTTAATCAATTCGCGTTGTCTTAAATATAATAAGAACGTTTCAACGGATGGTCGGAATAATATACTAATAACGGCTGTACTACGGTTCTACAACCCCGTACCGGGCGTTTAAAGCACTAATAATCGTTTTGCACGTAGTTTTTCGATATCGAAAGTAGTTACGAAACGAATGGAGTGAACGAAAAAAACGGAATAAACGGGATTGTGGCCGTAGCGGAAAAAGTCGAAAACCACTACGCTAAACGATACTTAAAGAAGTAATAGTAGAAGTATTAATTATAGTAGTAGAAGTAGTAGTAGTAGCATCAATTTATAATCTGCAATCGGGGGATGGCCATTTCTCGTGAGGAACCATCCTTACGGTAGCGTAAAAGCCAACATCCTGAGTATTTTACGAGGTAATGGGAGAGGGGGAGGGGTAAAGAACGTTTCGGTTGTTTAGCTGCTCGTCGGCGACCATGGTTTGGAGTCGGGTGGCGTGGTCCTGCCACTGCCGGTGGTAGTGAGCGAGCGGTCCATCCTCGGCGAACCGTCAACCATGCCGCCGCCTTCGTCCTCGTCGTCTTCTTCTTCGTCTTCCGATTCGGCCGGATGGACGCTGGTCTCGGCTGCCGACGGAATGGTGGCCAAGAACCGAACGGTCAGTTTGCCCGGTGAGCCGCCTTGCAGCGCGATAAGCTCCGCCTCGTCCAGAACGGCCGGTTGACGCGTCAGTCGTGGCTTGTGCTTCTGATCGCAACAGCTACCCCCGTTACCGCCACACCCACCGCCGTTCCTGCAACTCCCGCCACCACTGCCACTGCCGCCACCGCCGCCACTGACGCTCGACCGTGACGCGCGGGTGCTGACGCTCGTGCTGGCCGTGTTGGCCGACCCCGAGCTGTCGTTTCGCGAGCTGGACAGGTTCGAGTCCTGGGAAGTCTTGCGCGTGACGATCCACGAGCTAGCTCTGCGCTGTTTGGGGTCGAGCAGCCGCAGCGGGACGCCGCAATGATGATGATGATGGTGGTGGTGGTGCTGGCGCCACGAGTCGGACCGGGACGAACTGTAGTTCTCGCTGGACGACATGGACGACGCGCGCTTGTGCTGCTTCTGCTGGATCTCGGCGATTTGGTATGCGTACCGGTCGCTGCGCATGTACTGCCTACGCCGGCCCGGCTCGACGTCTCGGCGCACGCACGCGGCCATGCGCCGGAACCGCGCGGACAGCCACTCAAAGAACGTGCCGTCCACTTTGGCAGCGGCCGCCTTATCGTCTAGCAGCAGCTTCACGTTGCAGCTGCACGGCGGATGGTGCAGGTGGTGGTGGTGGTGCGCGTAGTTATCCCGCGACGACCGGTCCACCAGACTATTGGTGTTGGCCGGCGTCTGCCGGTTGCTGAAGTTCGAGCTGTGCCGGCACCGGCCGATGCCGCGGGTGACACGCGATTCTTCGATCGCCTTGCAGATCATCACGCAGTCCTTCTTGAACTGCTTGGTGAGTATGGCGTACAGAAACGGGTTGCAGCACGAGTTGAGCGGCAGCACGAATACGGTGAACACCTTGGCCTGTTCTAGGGACACTAGCCGGTAGCCGCACACGGCCGTCAGCGAGACGAACGCGATCGGGGCCCAGCACAACAAGTCGGTGAACACCAGTAGGGCCATGCGCTTGGCGATCCGCGAATCGTTCGAGTTCCACGCCTGCGAGCCGCGGATTGCGCAGTACATCTTCAGGTAGCAGCCCATTAATATAAAGAACGCCACACCGTTGATGAACATCAGGAACACCACGTATGTCAGGCTCCACGTGCTGGTGGTCGTCTCAAACGGCAGGCATGTGGCGAACTTCCGGTAGTCGGACACGCCGAACAGCGGCAGCGCAGCCATGGAACCAGCGAACAGCCATCCGCACAGCATGATGTACGACGCGTGCTTCAGCGATAGCCGCTTGTTCAGGTGCATCGCGTGCGTGATTGCGTAGTTCCGTTCCAGCGTGATCACCGCCAACGTGTACACTGACAGTTCCGAGCTGAGCACCGCCAACGCGCCGGCCAACTGACATCCGGTCGACATCTGCCATGGGATCGCGTACGCCTTGAACTCACCCAGCGTGCCTGCGTCCACCACGGCCAAGATCCCTGCGAACAGCGCAACGTAAATTGGGTTAGAAACACGTCCCCGTGGCCGCCGGTCCACGCTGCCTTCCGGCCATGCGCATACCGGTTCTAGGACGAAATAGCGAATTTTAAAAAAAGCGATCATGTATAATAGAAAAACTGCAATTTTTTCTAATTTTTATTACGAATACTATACATTTTAATGTTGTATTTGGATAAGTCTCAAAACTTATTATAACTTATTTTATTAATAACTATTATTTTTAATAATATAATAAATATTCTTTAGGTGGAAGCCATCCTTCTATATGGAAATATATTGATGTAATAGAGAAAATTCGAAATTTAGAAGAATTAAAACGAGAACAAAGCAATATAATTTATAATTTATATCAAGTATAATTCTGAAAAACAACCAGGCATAAAATAAAGTTCAAGGACTTTGTTAAATAAAAGATTTCATTTGTTAATTATAACACTAATGTTAATAATAACTTTGTAAATGGTATAGCATATCATTTTTCATTAAATGCCTAATTGTAAATTTTTGCTATTGGTTTATTATTTCATTATTTTGACCGAAACCGCGCAGACCGATACCGATATCTGGTCATATCGTTTACTAGACTAATCACAATTCGTTTTTTTAACGCCACGAAATATCAACAGCATCTAACGTAACGTCATAATATTATTATAGTATTTTTCTTAAATTTGTAAATAATGGACAAATTGAATTTGCAATAAATATCTTATTTTTTGTACTTTTAGTTTTAATAAATTCATCTACCATTTATATCAATCAACATTATTTCATATTGTTCCGCGATAAATTTTCCAACATAAGAAAAACTAAATAACATTAAGATGGCCTTTATCATACATATAATATCTATCTGGTACAAATCAGTATAGGGTAATTCGTATAGATTTGAAGTTAATGATTTTCTAAAAAGAGTTTATTGTGTTATTTTAGGATTTGAATACGCCCTTGCATATAACTATGGAAATGTAAGTTAACCAGTAAGCCAGCTAGAGACGTCATTATTTACGAAAAATTACATTTACACGGTCTGTAGGTCAGGTTTTACGTTTGTTATATAACTTTAAATTCAATAGATGCAACACTTTTTCTTTTCGAAGGCATATTTTATTGCACAATAACTAACCAAACTGCCAACGTTTATTCGTGTAGATTAATAAGGTTTTAATTTAAGCCAACCTATAAACAATCATGTTTTTTTGACGAGACTGATAAATTACATTATTGCAAAGAAGAATTTGTTGAATGGCAAAACGCTTTTTTTTCTTATAATAGTTCAACATACCCATGTAACAATGTTGTCCACACCGTATCAATGAGAGGATTTATTAAAACACTCACCAAGGTACAAGCCCATGAAAAAGTCGGCCGCGGCCAGGTTGCACACGAGGAATCTGGGGACGTCTATTTTACTTCTGGCGAATATCAACACGAATACCACTGTTCCGTTTCCCAGCATGGCCAACAGGAACACGACCCAAACGCCACATCGCAGCGTCCACCAGTCGAACAGGTCTTGGCAAGGCAGGAACGGGCCTAGAAACAAACATGACATGGTCAGGTTCAAAATTAAGTAATGGAATTTGCCGAGTCAGGTTTGGTTTGGATAGTTTAGGTACTTCACTGGCAGAAGTAATGCAATTATAGACCCGTTTGGGCACCTCGGTTCAGAAAAAAAAAATGGTTTTTCACCGAACGCCAACGTGACCGTGCACTATAGTATTATTCCGGTATCTTACTGACCAGGAAGTGGCAAGCACTTGATCTTAGAAGACGATATCATATCTTGCGACTTCCCTTCCAACTGTTGTTCTTCGAAATACTCCTCCATGTACGACGGTAAATTTCCTGGATACGTGAAGTCCGTACCAAACGAATCCCACAGGTCGTTGACTTGTGTCCCGAATTTTTTGCTCAGATTTTCTGAAAAAATCAATTTAATTTTAATTTTTGTGTATATTTTTTTACTAGTTCAGCATAACAACAATACTTATAAATCGTTTCATATAGAAGCGAAACGAAAATGGAAGCATATGGAATAAAGTTCTAAGTTATTTTTAAAGTGGTGGAAAACCTTTAAGTTGTTTTTTTAAAAAAAAAAATTAAAAAAAAACAAATTGCAATCGTAGGTGCACAGATTGATAAGGTATCAAATCATTTAAAAAGTACTTATTTTCTATCAAAAACATTTTTAGGGAACTCTTTTTACATTAATTGAAAATTTTTATTTAAATTATTATTTTATCAAACAATGATTAGGTATTAAAAGTTTCTCGGAATTCAAAATATAACTCAACATCAAAAAGTGAATACAATCTTTACAATGTATTTATAAGTTGTACTATTTATCAGCTGTTATTATAATATTTTTTCTTTAAAATTTAAATTCTTTTAAAACCATTTATTATCTGCGTTTAACGGGATCAACTATTAAAATTAATTTAGTCTGGATTATTTTAATTGAGTTTTTTCATCGTTGAATACATAAAATTTGAATTTTACGTTAAGTTAGTTAAAAATCAGAAGTTAGTATATCATTGGAACTAAATTTATACCATAAATTATATTGCTTTGGTTCAAAAAAGTTTTATATCCACCCGTTCGTTTTTAAATGGTTGTATATAAATAATTGTAAGAACTTTTCAAATCTAATGATACATTTGTTTCCAATACTTTGTTTCTATTCTTTTAATTTTGCTTGTAAATATTGATTTGAATTAAAGTTATAAAAGTTTTCTTTCATTATCTATAACTATTTCATCAGAAAGAACGATTAATTTCAAGTACTTCAAATTATAAATAATAAAACTGCAAAGCAGTGAAAATTAATAACGTTATTCACAATGGAAGCTGATCCAACGATAAGTTACGAAGTCGTGTTGCCATAGGATACTATTTTAATTTTGAACTTTAAAACGTAATTTCCGAACAACTTCAAAATGATGACAACATTTTCATTGTTATGTTACATCGTGTCAAATCCAGAGAGGCCATAATGGTTTTTAGACGTGTTTGAAAAATTATATCATGTTCCCGGACTGCAGCAGCGTAGAGCTCACTACAATATCGTACAAGGATCACGTTCGATTCCGTTCGAAAGAAATTCTCAACTTTTGTAAAGTGTTCCTTTTGCCGCGTAACCGTTGAACTATCGGTGCAATGATTAAACACCCTAGTAAACCCATCTCGCGAAATGCTACTAGGGTACATAGTTTCCGCTTATATATTTGGTTTTCGGTTTTGAATAATTATAATTTTAACGCAATCAAACACCATCATCGATGTTGGCGGCAGTTGCGACGCATGTATACTTTCGATGACAACCACATGAAATATACGAATGCGGGAAAGTGTTTTAATGTTCAAACTTTTTTAATAGATTACATCGCAATTGTAGTAGGCTTAATAGATACAACGCGAATCTCGGTGAATATATTATTATTTACATGTTGTCGGCGGTGGTTGGCGCGGAACCAGAGTTTTAAAAACTCTAAAACAAAAAGATTACAATACAACTTTTGTTTATACGAAAATCGCTTCGGAAGCATGTTTCTGTACAATTTGCGTAAAACCAAAATATCACGTTAAATTACGTGCGAAATTATTGTTCGGATATCATGATAGACATTATGAGTTATTAAATCGTACGCGCGGACGGCGGAAAATTGAAAATTTGGTGCACACTGTGCTACGTAAAACTTACCCACGTCTGTTCTTACGTTGAACGTGCGTATAAATGCAGTGTCTCGGTGTATTCGTTTATACCACTTAATTTACAATGGTGGTGAATGCTTGTTACAAATAAAAAAGTTGAAACTGAGAAGATTACATAATCATCACCATCTCTATGCACAATTACTGTACTCTTACCTCATGGAGTGTTTGTTATTTATTGACTTTTTCTTTAAATAAATTATTATTATAAATGTGTATGTGAGTGTAATACAATAAGAAATTCAACACTCTCTAGTTTGTACATTCAAGAGTTTTATACTTAAAGAATTAAAGTAATTATTATTATTGTCAGCTGAATTTTAAAATACATATATTAAAAAAACTAACAGTTATGTGTATTCATTACAAGACTTTGAGTAAGTGGGTTTTATTCTTATAAACAATAATGATTAAGAAATAATCCATATGATATTATTTATTACAGGATAATAAAATCCTTGAACGATATTTGATCCATCTCCATAATAGTTATAGAAGTAACTATTCAATTTAAACCTTAATATAATAGTCGAGAATAACAAAAGTCGTATATTTATTGATTGTAAAAAAATGTATTTTATTAATTGACGTAAGCCATTGTAAGAAGTTAGATATTATAATATCAAATTTTCTAATTTGTTATTTAACGTAAAAAAAACTTAACTAACGAAAATTAATGTATCATTAATGGTGAGTTCGTCTGGATAATGCTTTGACGAAATTATTAGAACTTGAAAAAAAAAAGTCGAAAAAGTCAAATAATTTTTTCATCGTTTTGTGTATTTAACATTTTTAAATTCTAAATATTAGATCGTAATGATAATTGTTAATCTAAATTTAGAGGTGAAAATTTACTGTAGAGTAAAAATGAAAGTTTAATAACTTGAAAATTTTCCAGATCTCGTTAAAAAAGAATAAAATTACTCTAACTTGTTAATCTTAAAATTTTTTTGAAATTTTTTATTCCCACGAAAAACACTAAATGGAATAACGTAACTTGAAAACAAAAGTCACATTTATGTAACACTACTACTTGAAATAAAATAAAATAAAAACAAATAAATTAAGAATAATAAGACCCATTATGGTCATACTCCTGATTTGGATAATCGGAAAATATTTACTTTTGAACATATAAATAAATCAAATATACTAATATTCTAGAACGCTTGGAATTAAGATACGTAACATTGAACATAAAAACAATCCATGATCAAATATATGGAAAAAATGACGAAAGTGGAAATAGATTAAAATAGTATAAGTAGATACCTATCGTAAGAATAAATAACTGAGAGATCAAAATCGTCGACCTACAACCTTTTCGCTTCTGTTCGCCAATAAAACGGAAAGTTTCGTTTTTATGTACGACGGACGGTAGTTTCCGTTAGTTAATCGATGGTATTGAAATTTAAATCGAAATTCAAACATTTTGAAAAAATATAAATCAGAAACAAAATACACCGATCGGTTCAACGTCTATAATGGACCATGTATTTGGACAACATGTCAACCCTCAATGATCAGTAAAATCGTAGGTATTAAATGAGATATCGTATGTGATAAGTAAGATGGTGATATTGTACTAACGTAGTTGCGGCCATATGTCTGACATGCTAGAGTTCCATAGGGTCATATCGAAATCGTTTTCATTGGCCGGAAATATGACGGACTCGTGGAGGCTGGTCTGCGAGGATGTGGGTGGGTCGTCATCGGACGACTGCAGCGGCAGAAACGAACAACAGTGGTATGCGTAGGACAGAACCAGCGACTGGATCCGAGGAAAGTATTCGGGCGACGGGAACTGCCTCAGGTTGGGATTGTTGAACGTCTTCAGGTGTAGCAGTTTCTCCAGACCTTTGGTGGGCAAGTGTTCAAACACGTTTTTCCCCACGTTCCTGTGTTTGGAAACAAAAATTTGAATATTAAACAGAATTTTCAATCAATTTCAGTCAGTTTTACTACCATACAATTATTTCGTCCAATTTTAACTACGACCAAATCTTCGCGCGTTATTATAGCAACCCGTAAAATATTTATCCCTTTTATCCTTAGCTTTGTACCGCATTATTCTTTTTTTTTTTTTTTAGTAAAATATCGCTAGACTTTTCCTATCTATTATTTAGCTAAAAGCGCTTTCGATTAACATATAGAACGACTTCTTTTTCTTTGGTATATTCAGCTGCTAGGACCATCCGGACTCACAAGCAATTCTCGAGCCGTGTCTGTTCACTGTCAAATCCTACCAGTTTACTCCGCCTTCTAATTCTTATACATCCCTCTTATCTATAACTTCCCATCTGAACTTTGGGCTCCCCAAGGGTCTTTTCCTTTTCTTTTTTTTTCTTCAGAACATATGTACATATAAATTATTGACATATATTATTTGTATACAATGTACAATGTATGATGTTGGCATATATTATTTTTATACATGTAACAAATTCGTAGTGTAAAATCAATACGATATCATTTCAACAGAATAAGTGAGTGCGCTCTTGCCGTAACGATGTAAACTTAGAAATATTTTTATATTTTCACAAAAGTAAAAAGTAGTGTGCAATCTATCGATTTATAACTGCTATCAATCGATATTACTATTTCGATTTTTTTTTTCAAATTAAATGAATTTTTACCAATAAAGCATTACGGATTGACAATAAAATATATAATACATCGATAGTTTACATATGATAACAATAATATGTACCTAATACGATTAATCTTAATAATAATAATAAGCATAAATTAACTATTTAATGAAAACTCTCTAATATTTAGAGAGATATAATTTGTGTGTTTATGGAAAATTATTTCCATTTAGGACGAAAGTAAGAAGATATTTGGGAGATGTAAGAAATGGGCTAATTGTTGAAGTGAAATTTAGAAATCATTTTGATAACAATGTTTAGAATTTTTTGGATTAATGATTATAATTATTTAAATGCCAATATATGAAATAACAGTAAGTAATCTTTTTTTTTCCTAGCCTTCCAAGATAATCTTAAATTTATATTAACTTCATTAAGTCATAATTTGCGTTTGACACGTATAAGAAAGAAGTTAATGAACACTTACAGGTCTTCTAATTGGGTGAACGACAAAAACGTCTCATCATTGATCTGATGAATTTTGTTCGATTCCAAATCCCTGTAACAACAAAAGTTTTATTATGATCGTTATATAGCGCCATCTATCAACTTGATCAAAGTCCGAGGTAGTTTTACTTACAAAACTTTAAGCTGAACTAATCCGCGGAACGCGTCTCTGGGCACCTCGGTAATATAATTGTGACCAAGTAATAGGTCGTGAAGGTGAGATAGGTTAAGAAACAATGACCCTTCCAGCGAACTTATGTGATTGTTTGCCAAGTCCCTGGAAAATCAAACTAAGCGTAAAACGTCGGATAACGTAACTATATGGGAGGTCAGCTTCACGATATCGCAATATAATATTGCATTACGAGCAATGTAACTAGTTATGGGAATAGATGATGCAAAATTTATCTAGATGAAGATGAAAGATAGTCCAAATTTGTCTAGATAAAAAAAAAAGATATTTTTAAAAATGTTATTTTTGGTCAATATTTCATATTCTAATAATATCTATGAAGACTCAATTATAATCATTATTATCAATAGGTACCTAGGTGTTTAATGTTTATTGTCGTAATGTAGTGCAACATTAAGCAGTATTTATATATAATGTAAAATAGTTAATGATTGTTAATCACTAAAATCTTACACAAAAAAAAAAATAATAATAAAAATTGCTCTGTTCGTATCAGGATAAATATAGAATACATAAAAAATTATTTTTAGTTAACAATAATGTTTTCCATATAATATTAATTTTTTGATTTTCATTATTCTATAAGTAATTATGACTTTACAGGTTCCAAGAGTGAAGTTATGACTATTCAGCGTATGAGTTACATGAGTATACTAAAATCAAATACCTACTATATTTGGAACTTCCATGGAAAAATAAGAAATTAAGTTTAAAAATACCAAAAGTATTTTCTCGGCATGAAAATATAAACAAAATGTCATACCAAGAAATAATAATTACTTATTAATAATACACGAATTATGGTTATGAATACAATATTTATATGTATAAAAGAAAGTCAGTTTATTTACAGAATTTATAATTCAAGAATGGCTGGACCGATTTTGAAGATCTCTGATTTGTTGGATTCGTCTCCGTATAAGAATAAAAATAACTCTAATCTTGGCAAGAATACAGACAGTTATCTAGATAAGTAAAATTTTTATCATAGATAAATAATTAGATAACTTAGCGTTATTTATCTAGATAAGATAAAATATGACAAAAAATCTATCTAGATAAGTCCCAATACTAAATATTATGCGTATTACCAGTGTATCAGTGACGAGATTATACATTTTCCATCGTGAATAATATCATTTTTATAAAACCGTTTTTGTATTTCGAATGCCAATTCATTGTCAATTAGATTAGGTTGTACGTTTTATTGGTCAATATTTTATCATCTCACTAGATAATTTCCCATTACATTTTGACATAAATCATATTTAATACCAAACTCTTTTTTCAAGAAAAAAATAACAGACATTCTGTATTATTCTTTGGGTTAAACCAATAAAACAACCTTTCGTTCTTAGTCGAGTAAGAAAAATTAAAAATTAAATAATTTTAGATCATAGATCGTACATTCGATAGAAATTATTGCAAGTGCGTTATCGTAGTAGCATAATTACGTGAAGGATTATATATCGAACAATACGTCAAACCTCGTTTCAAGACATAAATCATACGTATTGCATGAAGCTATAGTATATCACATGATGCATTGCAATTAGGCCAAACGTCACCACTGCGTCATCGAGTGCATTGTTAAAACTACTAAGACAGTGACTCCTTGTTTACGTACGTGTATTAGAGACTTAAGGAGGACTTAAAAGATACTTAATACCATCTGCTATTTTTCACATACTGATTACGCGTGCATAGGCTATAACTTTCTATCCATTGTGTATAATCTAAGTCTCAACGGATGCCTTGTGTTGACAACTATTTTGATAGTTAATCGAAAAAAAATGAAATGTCTGTTTTATATTGAAAGAAACACGCCTGAGAGTATTTTATTTTATGTGGGATGAAATCGTCTACTCGTAGTTAAGTCTCAACACTGATTACTGTAAACGTTTTAATCAATTCATATCGAAAACACTAATAACGATGGCTACGTGTATTAAATTGTGTTGTGGTCCATTGCCTTTTAATTTATACAACCTACTTGCATAATAATAATAGCATTACATTATGATATTCACGATCGAAAATAAATCACATATTGACATTTTCATATTATGCCGCCATTCTCGACGCGTGGGATGAAATAATTTAAGAGTTTCAAATAATTAAAATCAACTCACAGAACCCGGAGATCGTTGCACTTGTTGAGATTCGGTATCCTGGATAATCTGTTCGATTTTATGTCGCTAAAACAATAAACTATTAGATTCATCTCGATCTGTAAATGCACTCTTATCTTGTATACGTACAGGCTTTTCAATTTAGGGCACGTCGTGCACAGCGAGTCCGGTATCGAATAAATACTCGCTCTGTCGATCCTGAGCACTTCGAGCGCCGACGTGCCGTTGAGATTCGGAAATTCTGTTAGTTCTCTGGCTTCGGACAAGACTCTGGAAAACGAAAACAAATAATAATTATTAAGTAGAACTATAATAGTGATGATAACGGAAAGCGGTCTTCAGGACGTTGGACAGGTGCAATATTAATAAAATCTGATAAGTAATGAACGTTATGGCACAATTTCGTTAGATACAACTGAACAATATTACTGTACAATGGAATTTTCATATACAATGATAATTTCTGCCTTAAAAGTAAAATTATTAAAAATTTAAAATGAAAAAAGGTAGAGCTAACTACGTGCAATGGCTATTTGTATGACATGTTTGAATAGATTTTACATTAGTAATTATTAAAATTCACTGCAGCTATTTCAATGCCATTAATTTGGTTCGTTAAACAAAATAATCGATTATCAATTTGAATAATAAGCTAAGTAAATAAAACGATTAATTTATTAACCCTGTAGATGTTGAACAAATTAAAGCGTTGAAGTTTAGATATAACTCGTAAATAAGTTTATTTATTTCGGCGATATCCAATACAGTGAAATAGGCACGGAAAAACCAATGATGAATATTTGATCACCTCTCCGCCAATGTACGTTTTCATAGTGTAACATAAATGCAAAGGTTTTATCCATTGACGATCAGTGTACACGTATGTATGATAATAGATGATTTGTATCGATAATTACCATTGGTAGCGTTTTGACAAGTTTTCGGATTTCATGTAGCATACTTACAATTTTCTCAATTTCGGTAGTGAAGCAAACGCATACGGATGCACGCCAATCAGAGGGTTGCCTTTGAGCTCAAGGAGTGCCAGACCTTGCGACCGTTGCAAAATTCCATCGGGCACGAACTTAATTTTGTTGCCGGACAATGATCTGAAAAAAGAGTCAGTCGGTCGGCAAGTTCAGCAAATCAGTAGAAGAAATTCAAAACCCCGAAAGTTTGACAATAGTAATAGATTATTATATTTTACCATAGCGATAAAATATAGTCGTTCATGGAGTACGATATGTAAATATTTTCATAACGCAGCCACGTAAAACCAAACGGGTTGGACTGTAGAGTATCTATCCCGCGCAATGGATTAGTTGGCAATGTGAAAAAATATTTTTGCAGGAAATTCTAATTCAGGAATTCGAACCAATAACTTACTAAGAATCATGCGAATATTATGTATTCATCGTTTTGTTTATATTAAATCAAGCATTTCATAAAATAAATAAAATAAATCAACGACGATTCCAAACACCTGAATTCGATAGTTTAAAAAATATTAACCTTTTCTAAATGGTACAGTTTGAATTGTGATTGAACATTAGTGAAACATCACAAAAAATAGTAACGAATAAAAAATATATGATGAAATTAACGAGCGTTTAAAATTACAATACGAACAAGAGAAATTTTAATCCGTTAGGGACACAACTTTTGACCACTAAAATTAGGTCAAACTACTTTCACTCTCTCGACACCCCTTGAACGGTTCACAGCTGTTGTTTTTGATCGATCCGTTTTGAACATTTTAAATACTACGAGACATGCCCAAACTAATACGATCTCTGTTCAACGATAATGATCATCTCGTTATTAAAATACGTCATTGGTGCGTTATAACAAATGACTGTGTTTTTTATCATAGACTTTTTACGTCACTCCTTAATCTATACATATTTTTTTCAGTGCTCTCATTGGAAAATTAAATTAATTGAATGTCATTATATTTAAAAAAAAAAAAATAAAGGGAGTTTACACCAACTCGTCAAGGTGCAAGAAACTACACGTGTCTTATAAACCCCAACCAACTTATGTATTTTTGTAGTCTTTTAACCATTTCTCGACTTACTTGTTATTAAAAATAATAAAATCCCCAAACAAAGGTCATTGACTTTAGATTTATTGGCTTTTGGCTGTACAACAAGTATTTATTTGCAACTGTAAACGGTTTTTTTTATTTTTATTTATTTATTATTTTTTGAGTTTAAAGAAATATACGTTTAGCGTTCCCGAAAAACAGTCGATGGTCTAATCGATTTTAGAAAATTTCAAATTGCAGTACTGATCACAAATATGTGGTCGGTTAGTATTATTTATTATCGTTATTGTTTATATTATTAGTATTTTTTTTCCACTTCATTACGAAATCACTAATATGATAACCTCGTACCCCGGGAATTCGTGTCACCATCTGTGGACGTACAGTCATGGGGACGTGATGTAGATTGTTTGGAAACCCTAAATCTTTTTTCTGCCGTGACGACCGCGTGCGATCACGGTCGACGATAACACGTCGGATACGATATATTGAACGTCGATTAAATGTTAACCGTCCAGCGTTATCTGGCCACGCGATCCCCATCGCGGCTTCAGCGTCTATTCAGCCCGGCGGAAGGTCCGCGCACCGTATGTAGGTCAGTTCGGGTGCGCCGATCGGTTAACATTATTTATCTTAGTCGTAAATTCTCACGCGGCGTACCTCGCACGTGAAATAATGTTCTGATAAGTCCGCAGGAAGACACGGTGGTGCCGGGACTCAAGACCCCGTTTTCCCTGGCGTCGCTAGGATCGTGTTTTTTTTTTTTTTTCAACCAAACCGGGATAACGTTTCCATTGTTTAGAAACGGTAATTGTTATCGATAATTACGTCCAGTACCAGCTGGAGCCTATACCTTGTTCGCAATTTTAACACTACTGCAGTGTACAGTTTTTATGGTATATATCCTGACACGAGTCTTAACTCAACACAGCACTCGATGAATCATTAAATGTTGTAAAATTAAATGGTTTACATTGTACAACTCACCTCGGAGACAGTACCAATTTTCCATAGTAATTTTACCCCTTTTACTCCGCATAATCTTTTTTAAGATTAGTTTTACATTTTTACATTTGCTGAACTACGCTCTACTTTACTTTTAATACACTTCACTTTTTTTCCAGGGTATGTACAAAGTAATCTTATCGACGCCAAACAAATGTTTTATCAGTCGATTTGCAAGGTAAATGTATTATTTATTTATTACAAACATTTTTAAACGTATAAAATAAGTAAAGAAAATTATTTGAATTCGTTTTTAAGTGTCATTTAATTTCTAAGGACTTCGGATTTGTATGAAAACAAATGTGTATGAATTCTTCGCGTTCAAATCACACTGTATGAACATCTAAACCTCAAATTCACATAATATTTTAACTTATTCTAATGTAGGATTTAAATTTATAAACATTTTTGTAATATTCTTATTTTATCTCGAACTCATTAATGTATGAATATTTTATGTTTCTTAAAATTAGACAATCTAATAAATCATTTTACAGGCTTTATAAAATTATTAACTACGTCATTTGAATATAAATAGCTGAAAATCGCGAATTGTGTTTAATTTACTACATGATTCGGTCGTTGTATGAAAAAAATATAAATTAAAGTAACGACCATTATTTTATACAATTCTATACAATAATTTTCCGTTTTTTTGATTAATAATGTTAGTCTTTAATACATTTTGTATATTATTAATTTAACTCTCAGTCACACGAAACGATTACAATTACTAAAGTTAGAATATGGAATAACAGTTCGTCTGATACACAATATGTATTATTTTACCTAATTTCTGTTCGAAAATAATTACTTATTATTATTATTGCGGTTTTTATTATTTCATATCGTGTCATTAAACACGTTACTAGCGTTTTACATAAAAGGGTTTTATCACATCATGCAAAGTTTATAAAAACACATCAAAAGCCGTTTCGTATTAGTTTATTTATTATTATTATTATTTTTTTTTTTTGGAACTTGTTCAAACTCTATCCCAAAGATTAACAATAATTATTTGTTAATGTTGGATGTAACCAAAACTGTTGGACCCGTTCCAAATAGTGAATTTATAAACATTCATGGATGTTTCATTTAGGTAACTATATCAATAATCAAATGAAAAAAAACAAAGAAAAATAAAAAATTACAATGATCTAATATGATTATAGAAATCGTTATAAATTATAATATCGTTATGGTACTACAGTGATTAGGTATTAATTCTTCCGTCTCGTACCGAGGTACGATGACGAATGAATCTAGAAGGTAAATAATGCATTATGCAGTTGATTTTAATTTTTTTTTTTTTGTTTTTGGCAAGAGAAAATGCATTTAAAAAATCCTATATTTTATATTATTTTAGTTTTTATAGCAAAATTATATTTTTTTGTGTAATACGCATGTACAATAAATTATAAAAATAGCACTCTGGGACCTCAAAGGCGTTGAAAAAGATAAAGCAACGGTATTCTAAAGGGCGATTGTAATTTCCGCCCCAAATGAATAGGTAAAAACAAGGTCTATGGTAAATTCCGCCCGGGAAAAATATCCAAGTAAAAAGGTACTTATAAATTCCGCCCGAAAAAATAAATATTTTTAAAATAAGCGTTCTGTGACTGTAATGTTCGAATGAACACAGAACAAACATATCTCAGACGACAATCGTCAACATGTTATATATTATTAGCTTTGCCACTTATTGTGGATCTAATAATTGGAAATATCAGATAGAAATATTATAAATTGTGTTCCAATAATATGGAAGTGATATTTTGACCCGTTTTTATTGTTATAATTATTACTGTTTTTACGATTTTTAACAATTTTATACGATATACACTATTCATGACTTATAATATGTGCTAATTATTGACGCAATACGTGAAGTATATATTTATTTAAATACCTACTTAATAATTTTGTATATATATTTTTTTTAAATTTAAATACCTAATTATAAATTATAATGATTAACCTATGTTATATCAGTAATAATATGATTAATAAGACATATTCAGAAATTTGTTTATTAACAGTAAGTAATACATTTATTCTTTATAAATCTATTGGCTATTAAACCTATACGATTTTGATCGAAAAATACAAATAAAAGTAACTTTAAACTTTTAATCTTCATTAAGTAATAAGAACTTTTTACTTATAACTTATAAGTTATATGTAGGAAGTGTTTATTAACTATCAATTTTTTTCGGGCGGAATTTACATGTGCCCGTTCTAAGCGGTGTAGTTTTCCCCCATCTCTCCCGAACGAACGAAAACCCCTAAATAAATTTACAATCACGTCGTTGAGAAATAACTCGAATATCGTTAAAATTCTCAATGGAGCTATTAACATCTGGTAAAAAATGAATTTTTAAATTATTATCATATTATATCCGTTTATTTCTTTTGGTATCTATAAATTAATTTTTAACTACCGAGCACATTATTGCGCACGTTTAAATTAAATTTATCGTTAGTACCCTATTTTTGTAACCATTTCAGGACCAAAATAAAACCGCATAAAGCATAAAAAAAATATCGCTATAAGATATTAAACAACGTGACATACATTGTACGAGTGGTACGCGCAATGTTATTCTATGATTGTTATTCCACGATAAAGAAATAAAATCAATGTTTAATACGTAATAATGTACAAAACGATTGCGCTATGGTTATTTGTGTATTAATAATCGCACTACATACGTCGTCCGTCTGCGTGTTGCAAATGTATAACTAGGTTAAGATTTTCAATACAAAAATAGAATCATCACTCGCGTCTCCTCAGCGAATTATGTTCCGGTCGGTATCATAAAACCCGAAAACCGTATCGAATCCGACCGGCGCGTTTATAATACTGTATTGTTAACCCGCCATGAGTCGCATCATTGTATGTAACACATGTGGTTGCACAAGGTCTTTTTGACCGTTCACTTATATCTCATAATTTTTTTTAAATTTTACATACAAATACATTTATTAATGACTTACAAAAATTATACTTTATTTATTTATTATATTTTACAATAGAAATTGATATTATTGAAACTATACTTAAAATTATATATATCATCATACCTAAGATTAAGTGAAAATAAATTAAAAATAATTTTATTGAAAAAATATGTTAGAATACAATAAAGTTTTGATATTATTCTGAATTTTCCTCATTTGAATTTTAACAATTAACACATACTGTTTTTCCGCTATGCTCTTTGCAAATATATGTTTCACATATTCCACATACAGTTTTAGTTTTTCTATTTTTTCGCCAATCACGATAACCACATTTTCCTGCTACCTTACCTTGTTTTTCAAATTTTTCTTGTCTTGTGCCATCTCATGTATTATATTTTTTATTGAAATCGGAATACTTTGAGTTTGAATTCTTTTTTTAATTTCTGGCAGAACTAATACTTTTGCTAAATCAAAGATGTATTTTTTTCTTGGTAAAATATATTGTGTATTGCTTATATATATTATTTGACTATTTATGCCACTAATGTTCAACAACGAAAAAAAAATTGTCATTGGCCATCGATTACTATTTCTGGCTGTGGAATAATTTCTTTTCATAAAATCCACAGTATCAACTCCGCCCTTTGTAGAATTATAATAATTTATGATTTCAGGTTTAAAATGTTTCCCATAATCTTGGTCAATTTCATCACTGTGATGCATGGTTGATAGTAACAACACTATCTTATTTTGTTTCGGTTTATAAATAAGACAATAAAGTCATATTTTCTTGAAAATCAAAAATACTTGTGTTGGTGGGTCTTTCTTTTAGTTTTTGAGTAAATAATGGAGGTATTTCCCTTTAATTTTTCTTCACAGTCCCGACCATTGTCAAATTATGAATTTTTTGTTGTTCATTTGCCATTGGAAATAAAGTGTACCAATTATCGCATGTAATATTCCTTCCAGAATTAGATATGGGAGCTATCAGTCTTTTGATTACCGCGCTTGCACTATTATCTACTTTATACGGAACTTCTGGTTGTTGACCTGCGTATATTTCCATATTGAAATCATAGTATGTTTTAGAATCGACTAACGCGTGCACTTTTATTCCATATTTCGCAGGCTTGTTCGGCATATATTGACGAAAAGAACAACGCCCACGAAAACTTTCTAACATTTCATCTATAGTTACATTTGGATTAAGATTGTAGTAATTTTTAGACCTATCAATAAATTTATCAAACATTACTCTGATCGGTGCCAATTTATCAAGTTTTTCTTTCGATCTTCGCGTGTATCAGAGTCATCAAAACGTAATGCACGCAAAAGAAGACGAAATCTACGTAAAGATATAACTAATCGAAAAAGTTCTATGCCCGTGTTATCAGTAAACCAAAATTCATCTAAATTTATATGCGCAGATTTTTTCATTCCAGCAAGATATAAAAGGCCAATAACTGACTTTATTTCAATTAAATTAGTTGGCAGAACATCTCTTTCTCTGGCACAGTTAGATCTAACTTATCTAATCGTTTATTAGTGTATTTGACAATTTGTTCTAGTATATTATCAGGAAAAAATAATCTCCACGCATCTTCTATAGTTTTTGTATTTTGAGCATTTTTTTTTTACACCTGGCTGTCTTATTATATTATGTGATCTTGTGCGAGTATTTTTAGAAGGTTGATGCATATTCCAATAAGATTTTTTATCTTTGCTTATGTATTGTGGACCCGATAACCATAAATTTAAATTTTCTACACATTCCTCATCAGATTCTTCAGAATTAAAGTTATGATTAGTGTTCTCAACAAATTCATTGTTACTTTTATCTGATTCATTCTCGTCATCAAACTCTAACAAATCTACATCCTCACTTATATTCTCTTCTAACCACCCAGTATTTTTTTCTGGATTCATTATATCCTATGTAATAACGAATAGAATATTATACTACCTAATATTTATTATAATAATCAACATCAACTAACAAAATATAATACCTTTTGAATAATGCACCTGTGACGGAAAGTATGTAATGACGTGTGTGACAACTATCTTGACGCGTATAATATTGCAACCTTCGAAGAGATAAAAGGTAAGTGACTGGATTATATGATGTTTATTGGTTTTTCCATTTAAAATTGGATGCCGACGAAAATAATACGTACCAAAATTGATACTAAATTTAGTAGCACACGGTCTTTTTGACCGGTACGGAGTTTAAAAATAGCTATAAATTCGATAAACAATAATTTATTGTTCTAAATAATGTAAAAAAATAGGTTAACGTATACATTAAAGGTAACAAAATCCACGAAATAAATTAAATTACTCACAATGACTTATTAGTAAAATACTAAACTCACGGTGTTTTAGACCGTGATGCGACTCATGGCGGGTTAATAACCACTCTTACGCGTTTCACATTGCACCATTGTAGTACTCCGGAATAATTATGCCAACAATTTATCGAAAACAGTTAAAAAAATAAAATGTAATTTTTTTAAAGATTATTAACCGTGTAATCTTTCTCACACAGCATGTTATTATAATTGTTTTACGAAAGTTCTAAATGTAATGCGGAAAGTTTCCCTGTTATGTAATACGTTTTGTGAAGAGCAACCAAAAAAAAACATGACATAAAACCATAGCTTTTTGTATGTGACGGATATATGAGTTAGCAGTGCAAGCGAGATATGAGTTGCGCTTTCGATAAGGGTCTCGACTGGGGATGTTCGTACGAAGCCGCTCGAGGTATATCCGTGGGGATGGAATAGTGTAACAGGAAATCGCAGTGGGTCGAATTCAGCGAGTTAACGCGTATATCATTAATGCTGTTGTTTTCGTTGTGTATTATACTAGATATATTATATCCGTGTTTAGCGTTAAATGGTAGATTCAGCTGGGTTCCTTGGTTTAAAGTGATGGGGCGTAATGTATCAGAGGTCGGGTTAAAAGCTTCCAAAAATCTCATAATCGACAACAGTTAAAAAAATGCCTAATACGTCAGTACGACAACGCTACTTCTCCATTGGTATGTCATTTGTTAAACGATCGTTCATGATCCTTCGCACAACTGAACGTCGATTGAGGTGCGATTCTACTTCCTTAATATCCTCTTTCTTTTTTTTTCCACGCATTCGCTGTTCATTCATTTGTACAAGCATATTATTTTCGAAAAGAGAGCGTCACTTTACCGTCCTTATTATATCTAATGAAACAGCTTTGGTAAGTACTATTCTTTGCAAATAGCAAGAAACGTTTACGGGAAAATATCAATTCCTGTGTACATACGTAAATGGTAAAAATAACGAATACTAAAATCTATAATATTCATTTAAACATGGTTATATTCGTGAAATTATCGATTAGTTTGTATTGGATTATTTAAAGTATTAATATACGATAGAATGAATGGTATATTACTCGTACGCATAATAAATAACGGTTCAATTAAGTGAAAATACATCGTGCACAATTTTAACTCATTTGAATATGGTTCAAAGATGAAAACTTCAATGAAAAATTATATTTTTTAATTTTTTATGTAAGGTCTCACATGTGCCACTTATTATTTTTGCTTAGTATTTGAATTTACTATTTATGTTTTTATATTTAGCACTCGAAATCTATAAAAGTAAGACAATAAAATTCCATCTTCACAATTTATAAAATGTATTTTATCGAAAACATTAACATCAAATATCTATGGTGTATTCCCTCAACTATTTCTACTACAAGGTCAAGAGTAAATTATTGTTTTCAATCGGCATGACTCAAATTTATTGTTTGATTTTTGGACAGGAAACATCAACTGAAGTTTAGGGGAAAAAATAAAAATTGACGAATTAAAAATATTTCCGTTTCGTTATAAAAACCAATCAACTTATATCGTGTGAACAATAATCGATCATAATTTTTACACTAATTATTAATTTAACATTAAAATTTACGTATTGAATAGAAACTGATGAACTTTCAATCCTCCGAACCTGATCAGGGTGGATAATACCGACGTCCCTGCTTAGTAATTTTATAATATATAGTTAATATTATGGTAGTTATAACGAAAATAATAAAGTAATATGACTGTTATCTTACAGTTCTTGTAGAGATGTCAACTTGGCAAGAGCGGCCGGGACCGTATCCAACTGATTGTCATCGAGTTCCCTGGAAAACACACAGTATACGTTAATATAATAATAAGATGACGTACTAGACACGTAAGAACACACATACAATAACATGCATGCACGCGTGCGCACACAAGTGTATACATACAATATCGTTCACACACGAAAACGTACGAAATAAAATACAAATGTAATATACGAAAGAGAAGTGGTGGAAATGATGTGTGTACAGTAATAATCTCCAGTTTCGTAAAAAACAATTTTAGTACTATTGTGACAATTATACGTATTATATCGTTACTATTAAGACGGCAAAGACAAGACGACGACGACCGAGTGAAAAATATATCATAACAATCGTAAATGCCGTCCGATTTATTAATGAACAGTGCACGACGGAGTGGTGGCGGTGATGCCATTATCCCGGAGAGGTCTTCGACCCTGCACCATGGACAGGGAGGAGGGATGAATAAAAAAGAGGGGATATATATATCGAAATATATACGACGATCGCGACCCTTTGACCCGCCGCTAAATACGACGTGAAACATACTGTCGTCCGAGTATTTTAAGACGACAACGTAAAACCAACGTCAACCGATTATATTCTTTGTTCGTTCGTTTGTTTCCTATGCCAGTGGATCATCAGCTTCTACCATGAGAAATACACGCACTTTGCAGGGATTTTCTCGTAAGTTTTCGTAAAAAATATAAAATATAATACTATTATTTTATCGAGAACGCATTAAAATGGACAGATATAAAGCAAATTTTAATCGGAAACTTATCGTGCGTCATTTTCAGGAAAAGACAAATAAAAATTTTTCATCAAATTATCAATGTCAAGTTAGTAATGTTAAACAAGTCGTTTTAAAATAACGTTCTTGCTGATTCTTAAATCTTAGATACCATGATGATGTTTTACCGTCCGATTTTGCGCAACGAAGAATAATATTATTTTAAAAGAATGAAAAAAATAAAAGATAAAAAATAAACAACGGTTAACCGAACATCATATCCACCAATCTACGGCAAAGTGCATTCTTCGATGAAACTCGAGGATGTCAAATGTTTACGATAATTGGACAGTGTTTTTTTTTTTTTTTCGTGGTAGTAGTACACACGTATTCAACGAGTGCGTGTCTTGTCCTTTTAAGTTGTGTTTATTTTTATACACGTGTCTTTTTATTCTTATTGTTATTATTATTGTCACTAGCGTTTGCGCGCGCTGCGACTATATTGCTGCAGCGTATAGGAAAACGGATGAATTATATTATACACTATTTTGGTCCAAAAACGACACGTAACGGCAGGGTTGTGTTTTTATATACAAGGAATACGGTTTTTACTATCGCTCCGGTCAACGATCTGAAACGATTAATCCCTGGAGAGTGGTATCTGGTACGTCCTTACCCTCCCCGTTTGTCTACCCGGGAGAGAAAAAGACCGGAAAACAGCCACCAGAAAATCAGAATTATTTTGGACCACTTAACAGCGACTGCATAAAAAGTAATAACCGGCCAACTGACCGCCACCAACAGTGTTCCGCGGGGCTTACCCGATATTCGATAATGCTATCTCACATGGTTTATATTCATATGAAAAGAAAAATAATAATCTTTTCCAAGTATTTTCTTGCCTGAGAGAGATAAAAATTATTGTAAACAATTTGTATTCGATGATCACTTTGAATAAAATAAGTCGTATGTGTAATAAGTATTTTCATGTGTATACGATTTATTCGAAAATTAACTCGATAAAAACATAATTTAATTAGTATTCACTCTCTCTCTCTTTTTTTTTCTCCACGAAACGAATACAATGTCGATTGTTAAATAACCAAATTATTTATTCAGTAATCCGACGTTATTACACGACAATTATGAACAGTAAAAAAAAAACATTTGTTAGAGTGCTATTCTGTTCATTATTACAAATAATTTGGATTTTATATTTACCTAATGAACAGTTGAGTTTCAATTGAAAATAGAAGTTGAAAAAAATTAAAAACAAAAACAAGATGGGAATTATTTTTAAGTATAAATTTTAGTCTCTGTTCGTGCTAAATTACAAATCACAAAATTGGTCTTGATAATAATAACAATACCAACTCCAAAGGCAATATTTCATCGTGCAAAACATATAAATATACTATATTAATTAGCCTAAACAATGCTTCCCTTGGGGATGGGCAGCAGCATCAGCAACCTCCGTTTGGTATAAAATGATTTTAGTCGTTTGCGTTAAAGGTCTTAACCGAAAGTCACTAGCAGGATATTTCAAACTATATATCTGGCTGTTGTTATACTATGGTAAACGGTAAAATATTTTAGCCGAACGTATATTGGTACAAACTGTGTAAAAGCTTCGTTATTGTATTCGAATTGAAATACATGTAGCAATTGTGTTATACATATTATGTTATTTAATTATTTAAAACAATATTAAGTTAAATAAAAAAACTAAGTTATAATGAACAGTATAACTGTAATTAATATTGACTTTAAATTAATTTGTAAAAACCATTTTTAAAAAAAATAACAATCGGTGTCTGACTGATACGTTGTTAATGAAGTCATACAATAGAAAAAATGTAAATAAAAAAAATTTAATTTAATAAGTGTTAAGTGATAAATTATAATTTATAAAATATAATCTTCTTTACAAATAATTTTAATAATAAAGTTATTCTGACAGGTTTTTTTAAACCATCAAATATAATATTTCTTTTTTTGAAAAGTTAATTAATTTTCCTCAGATACATAATATATTTGAATCTACTGCCATAAAAATTTATTTAAATTAAACTAAATTGATTAAATGTGCTTATATATTTAAGAAAAATAGTTAATTTGTTAAAAGTAAAACAATTGTCAAATCAAATTAAACTCGTATTGCATTAAAACATGTAATATAATTTCGTTTGAAATAAAAAAAAAAAAATCTTTTGAAAATATCAAATTATTTTTACACATAAATTTATATTTCAGTAATTGTTTTGAATTAAATATAAAATTTAAAATGAGTATTAAAAAGAAACATAAAAACATATTTCCATTTAGTATATTTAATCCTCTCGGTTCAAAAATTAGGTTATAGTTATCATTATTACCACATATCTCCTTATTATAAACACAGTATATAATAAAGACTACATTTTATAGGTCATTTGACCTAAAAAAAAAAAATGATTTTATTATAAAATTAAAAATATTTTTAAAAAATCTAAGCATATTAAATAAAGAAATTTTGCTTACAAACTTTTGAAGAGTTTGAAGTATCACGCAACGTTCTTAGTATAAATAATAATAAAAAAATGCAATTAAAACCATTTTATAACTTAATAAACGTTTAACTGAATATATTCAAATATTTTTAAAAATGATTAAATTCAAGAACCAAGGTAAGATTGCAATGTTTTGTATTATATTTAAAATAATTAAATGTATAATAAAAAACATAATAACTTAACAATCAAAATAAAAATAAGATTCCTTTCATCTAAAAATTATAATATTTTGAATTATAATGAAATAAAATAAAAATTAAAAATATATTTTCCATGCTTGTGATAGAAATTATAATATCAAGTCAAAATACTTACAATATTTTCAAAGAAGTGAGGCTCTCAAACGCAGTTTCATCAACTGAACCTATTTGATTTCTCTTAAGTAGCCTATAAATATAATACAACAATGTTATATAACTAGGAAAAACTACGTACACGCTGTCAGTACAATACATGATAAATAAAAATGTGTATAAGTATATCATATAGTTATTTGACGGATTGTAAACGACAATTCAAAATTAAATCTCATTTATTATTTTTTTTATTAATATTATTCAGGAAGGCTTCCTTTTCTGGGTCTGCAATTGATTATAAATTAATTTAATTTACTATTATTGGAGCACATAGGTATATCAAAATATTATTTTTGTAATCATATAAATTAAATTTGTATAACGAAAATACAAATCGTTCGCTAATATGTAAAACCATTAACAAATTATACAAAACATCGTGTACCGTGTTGGGACCCAGAATTTATTGCTTCGAATCACGAAATAGGCAAGCTATAAGTGTCAAAAATATACTTTGAAATAGTATAACATACAAATTGTTATATTTATAGCTTTAAAAAAATGTGCCACCATAAACAAAATAGAAACCTTATTTTATGCTCCGTGGACAATAAATACAAATTGTCAGCTTTTCCATTGATAACGTTGAATTATTAAATATATTTCGTCACCATATTTCAAATAATTTTAAATTTTAAAAGTGGACACTTATCATACTGTATGAAAACACATAGATTTTACGTATTGCTATTTCATGATACAAACATGTTTAAGTGTACCTATCATAATACCTATATCTAAATAATATATAACAATTTTATTATTGAAATTAACATAATATAACGAAAATTAAATATAACTATACGTGATTACACTTTTCGAATGGCTAAGATTAAAAATGAACAATTTATATTTTTAAATTAATTAGCTGAATAATAATATTATTATTATTATGTAAACGGCTTTTTAAACAAGATTTACTAAACGAAAAGTTATTGCTATATAAAAATTAATTTATTTCAAAATTTATTAGGGTATAATATGATAGTTTCTTCTTATATTTTGCTACTGTTGTTTTTAATAACAAATCAAGGCCGGTTTCCATCGTTATACCATATTTTTATTTTAAATAATAATACTATCTACGGTAACTTTATTCTGTTTGTAAGATTTATCGTTAAATAAATATACACACTTTTACAATATTATATATGTCATGCATGTAAAAATAACTTTTCTATCAAAACGAATGATAAAAAATAAATAAACTAACTTCTGTGTACTTACAATATGATCAGATTAGGTAACGAAGAAAACGAGTCATTTGAAATATCTACAATTGAATTACTTCCCAGGTTTCTGTAAATAAACATTAAAGATTTATTTTAAATAATCAAAATATAATATAAACAAACTGCGATGCGCGACGAAAAAAATCGAATGTAAAACCAATGTCAGAAATAACATAATTCGACGTATGAGTGATGCGGATATTAATTGTTAATCAGATAATATTTATTTTAATCCTTAAATCATGCGAATTTGAATCGAATTATTAAATGTATTATAAATGATTTGTTTTGTAGGCGAATCCAAACAACCAATTAAACAAAATCGTAATATCTAATATAGCTGTAATTAATTCATCTGGAATAACATGTGAAAAAAATTACAAATAATAACTTATCGGCTGAATAATTATAACCATAAATATACTTATGTATTTATATATTTATATATTTATATATTATTTTATTTATTTTTTTTTTTTGATTTTTTTTTTCGAAGCGTCCCGAGTTTTTGTCGTACTTATTTATACCAATTTGTTTTTGCGTTTCTAGATTTGAAATTAAATGAATGTAAACTAATTTAAAGTTCACCTCGATGTAATCACTTTTATTACGATTAAAACCTTTTCCGTCTTTATCGTGAAAATTAATTAATGTAGAATTGTTTCTTTTTCTCAAATCGTTCGCATTCTTAATGCAAATAGATCGTTTAACGAGTACAAATCTATAATTTTGAATAAAATTTATCTTCGGTTTTGTGCACTTTAGAATCGTATAATTTTCTTCCATTTAGAAACCAATTAATCAAAAAATGCCGTGCTCACTGGAGCCACCGGTGCAATTGAAGTGTAAATGATTAATACGAACGGGTTTGACCTGAAGGAATCCGAACACGAATAAAACGGTACGCGTTTCATTCACCCAATAATTTAATCGCTCGTAGGACTCAATTCGTCATACTACCATGAGCCCGTAACGTTACTTTACATTTGATAAGTATTATACGCGCAACGGAATTATAAGGGAAATCGATTAAAATTAATTCAAATTAATTTTTCGGAAAAGTCATCGAAAAGCAGTAGTATAAGCTGCGAATGATTCCTTCACAAAAATAACATCGACAGGTCGTGAAGGATAAAATAATCCTTGCAGTTTTTTTTTATTTTGCGAACGAGACTCGTGTGCTGTCACGCACCACCATAAAATTTTGACAACCACCCGTGTGTAAAATGTTTCGATTTTCTGCGACGACCAACCGCGTACAGTGACGCACCCAACAAACGTTTGACTAATTTCCGAGTACGATTAACCCTGATTTCCGATTTCGATTGTTACTCGGCGAGTTCCGTTAGATGCGAATGGACCGTTTTTATTTGGAAACGGATTTACAAGTACCCCGATTATGAGTCTGACGGGAAACGATAAGTGACGAATTGGGTGGGACAGGAAATCAAATGGACGGTTAACAAGGTTTAATAACTACAAATGACGGGCATAGAAACTGCATCGATTATACTGTCAGTATTATTGTTTCACGTGACACGTGAAATGCACTTCAGAACAGAAACCATCACCACATGCGATTTTATTAAAGAACATGAAACTTCAAGTCTGGGGAAGATGACGTATTGCTGCGACGGACGTGCCAACGGTACTAATTAAAACACGAAAAAATTGATTCCGATGGATGAACGTACTTGCGATTATTTATTTCGTCATGTTATCCTACATCAACGGCACTCGTTACAGACAATAGCTGTAGTAACAATATGGAGTTTTGTAATATTTCACTGATACGATCCATTACAGGACAAGAAAAATAAGCGCGTGGATATGAAAAGACATGCCGTATAAGAGGTTTATCTAGGGACATTTTGCTATTATGTTACACCATTTTCTTTGTAAATCAATGTGCATATATATACATTTCACATTGTATACGTAAAATGTTTTTAAATCAAAATAAGCTAAATTGAATCAAATGTCTTCAGTGGGCTGTTATATTATGTATTTGATACGTTGATTAAATAAAGAGTATATGAAATAAGTATATTTATTTTTCAATAATAGTTTAAAAGTCCTTTAATGTTTTAATAAAAATAAAAACTTGACTTTAACTTCAAATTTGTCTTATTATGGGAACCCTTTTCCCCTTCGATATATAATATACCAAACACAGCGGTGAAATCCCCACTGTATATAATTTTATAAAATAAATGAATCAAATATACATTGCTTAATTCATACTAAATCTATGTGAAGTACTATAAGAGTAACATAAAATTGTAAGCAATTTTTCCACTCACACTTGATTGACCATGATAGTAGAATTATGTGTAGCTAATGTATTAATGCAAAAACAACGTATTCATATACCATTCCGAATAGTATAACGGGTGTAAAATATTTTCAATATTTCATGTTGTATTATTAGACCATACGCCGAGACCACGGATTTGTACAGCCATTACTTCGATGAAATACGACATCCCGATAGGTACATGCTCACCAAATAATCGAAGTCAAAGTCGATTGGCATTATGCAACGCGAGGGAGTGTAGTATATGATTATTGGTGGCACGATCATTTTTTTAACAAGATTTAAGCGAAATTTATGTCCGTAAAAACCATTGTACACTGATTTCCATAAGATTGTTTAAATAACACAATTCCGAAAAAAATCCAATCGTGCACGATCATATTATAAATATTTTTAGACATTTTTAAACCGTTACTTTTAAGGTGTACTTTTTTTATTTAACTCAAGTGATCTTCTTAATGTTCAAAGTTTCACTAAACCATACATTGTCGTATTGCGAGAAACTGTTAACGAAAGTTAATTTATTCTACTGCTATTTTTAAACCTTAAAAGCGAATTACGATATAAATTCGAATTCGTATGTTATACTTTTATTTTATATTTTTATTTTTACCATCTTCGACAGAGGCATTTTATAGAAAAAAATGAAAGATAAAAAATAAATAAAATAAATGCAACTGAATATAGTAATAACAACTGAAAATCCTAAATAATAAAGTTTTCTCGTCACGCAACGCAGCCACTCGGGCCCTAAGGGTATTTTTATCGAGTCGGAAAACTGGCGACATGTGTACTAACAATAAAACCTGATCTTGTTCATTTTTCACGTCTTGGAATCATATGTAAGTTTCCAGAAAGAGAGCACGATAGATGTCGAATGTTAAACCTAACTCTTGGTTGTACCCAACACACGACGAATATACGTTTAGCCGTGCACAAAATATTATTTTGACGGATATCAAAAAATCGACCAAGTTTCACAGTAAAGGGTGATTCAATAAGTTTTATTACTCCTACATGTGTTGTTGCATATTGTACATAGACGCGTTTTTTTAGTATAAATTCATTAGTATTAGTGTGCTTTTGGATGAAAATTTTATTAACAGTTAATTTCAAACGTATAAATAGTAACAAAATAAAAAAATAATAATTATGCTATACATATTTAAAATTTCTTTGCTAATTTGTAGCTATAACATAATATTATCATATTATTGAATGTAAATAAAAATCAAATAATATCAAAGAAATTAAAAAAAATAAATAATTTAAAGTAATAATTATTATTACTTTAAAGAATAGAAAACGTTCAAATATTATATGTTACGAGTATCACACGAATTATTTTAATCCGAAATATATTTACATATAGTTATAACATTAATTCGAGAATTCATTAGTTAATATAGTTGAAAAATAAATAAGAGTGATTTCATTTCTAATGTGATTCGAAAGGATTCTCTTACCAATTTGAAATTTATTCAGGCCAAGAAAATGATAATAGATTCCGTTTACCACACGAGCCTGATCTTGGCGCTAGCTCAAATATAGTAATACGGCTCACAAGAAATATTGAACATAATAAAAACCATAGAATTTATTTCGATAATTTTTATACAAGTATTCCTTTAGCTGCGTACCTAAGGTAGAATGAAATATTGTGCTTAGGGACAGTCAGGAAAGATCGTTTACCAAATAATAAAAATCTGAACTAATTATATTGTGTTATAATTATTAATTTATGTTACACTTATGCGCAATGTTGCAAATATGCAACAATATGAAAATCTTTAGTTCCCGGGAAAATATTGAAGTAGGATTTTTTTTACCATTTTTACGTAAATCTACAACTAAAAATAAATAAGAAATAATTTTTTTTCTAAAAAAACAAAAAATCGAGCAATGAAGTTTTTATTTGAAGAGTTGATAGTAATCAGCGACGATTAATGATCCAAGAAGCGGTGTAATATGATTACCGTTACATTATATTGATTTTCGATACCTACACACAACTGCACCATTATTGCATAACCAAAACGCCTTACTATCAACATTTTTTTCTTGTTTGATAAAATAAATTGTATATAATTGAACTCGCACTATGTAACTCAATTTCCATCACTATACATATGAATAAATAAAACATTTAAATTTTTTATTAAATAATCGTTCAAGAAACGATGAATAATTTTTATAAAACAGATGAATCTATTTTTATTATTATTTTATTTAAATTTAAAAATCAATATTTCGACCGAAGCAATTACAAACAGACAATCGTTATAAAAATAATTATAAGCTCTTTTCTTCACCCCATTAAATGATAATTGACATAACTTTTTCTTATTAAAAAATATTTCTGTGAATATATTTTTAGTTTTATCATTTTAAACTTAAAATTCAACCCATTTGGCCAAAATCTTATTTGTTTAATTGAAAAAATAAAACACAAAAACAAAATGATAAAAATAAAATAATATAATACTTACAATGCTTCTATGGTGGGGACTAGGCTTAACGCTTGTTTAGGAACTTTGGTGAGTTTGTTATTTTCCAGCCGGAGATTCCTTAACTGGTATAGTTGTTCGAAGCACCGATCATCGATATCAGTCAAATAATTTTGATCTATTTGTCTAAAAACAAAAGGAGACTAATCTTAAAACGAATATTGATAAAATATTTTGTAAGCAAACCGTTTAGCATTTTTTTTGCGACGATATGGTTTACTATGGTGGCTACATACTAGTTACACAATCTTTTCAATGTAACAAAATCACTTCTTCCAAAACGTATACGAGATATATATATGGTTTCTCAGTTTCCTACACAGACGCGCGCGCGCGCGCACACACACACACACACACACACACACACACACACACACACACACACACACACACACGTATATATAGATATATATATATGTATATACAAACACACACAGAGATTTAATACAACACCGATAAGGTTTATGCTAATACCCGTATGATAAAAAACATGGTGAGCTAGAAAACTATGTGAGTTGTATTCTTACAGGGACGACAGTTGTCTGAGATGCTGGAATGTTTCACATGGCACCCGGACAAGTTGACATTTCTGGAATGACCTGTATACATATAAAAAAAAAACAAATAAAATGACGATAATATGTTACGTTCTAAGTTTGTGTAATGTTTCTTTTATTTTCTCCGATCATGCAGCATCTAAACATACTTAATTTACTTAATGATTTTCAACTCAATAAAATACATATTTTATCTTAAACCAAACCTTTATATTTTTTTTTTAGAGTGAATTCTATTATTTCAAGAAAAAAAAAATCGTCACAACCGTTAATTCTCGTTTCAATGGCCTGGGGGTAAAAAGAAAAGTTTTGGACTGCATCCAGTCTTTTGATAATAATTGCCTTTGGATTTCTGTAGAAAGGTGTTTGTTAACCGAATGAAAGAATAAAAGGCACGGGCAAATATATTATAAGAAAAAAATGAGTTGATAAAATAAAATTACCAATGAACGATTTAGAAGTTAAATGGACTGTACCTCAAGAGTTATAGATTTGGTACACAATTTGTCATGGTTAGAATAAATGTTTGGCATTCCTCCACGATTCAAAAAGGGTAAGAGTATGTATGCATGGAATTATTATAATATACATATGATACTATTTTACAAAATATTTCAAAACAAATGAATATTGTAAAATATCGTATCGATGTTCTAGATATATTATATAATACAATTTGTATAGTTTATAAAATAAATTTTAAGAATATTTAAAAAACAAAATTAACCTATTCTACTATTTTACCATTATTTATTATTTACTAAATCTCTTATACTTACAGCCTTTTTAATCTTGTATTGTTCAGAAATGCATTGGGATGTATCCATTTAAGAGGATTATCAGCTAATACTCTAAAACAATTTAAATAAATATTATAGTTAAACTCATACCCTTTACACGGTTTTAAGTAATATAATACATATTTATGTAAATAAATGATTTCTGTCAGTAAAATACATTTTTATCATAAATCTTGTGATTTATAGAAAAAAAAAAACAAAAATTAAATAAAAAAATCATCATAGGATGCACCAAGGAAAACAATATACGAGCTTAATATGTTTTGTTATATACGATAAAATTTTATTTATCGAAGTCATAAATCATCTTGAACGATAACCTAATATTTTCTAAAGATTCTCAATCCCCCGTGAAATTTAAAAACTATAATTTCTATTTAAAATATTTCATTTTTTTTTTTTTTGCATCAATCTATTAAAAAAATTCAATTGGACACAAAAATATATATTATCATATATTGCCGATTTATATTCTTTTTTCGACTACACGATTTGTTAGATAAGTTTTATTTCAATTATAATTAACTACAATGTCACATTATAGTAAAATTCTTTAATACTTATTATTATTATTATTCTTTTTGATAAATTAAAATATTTATTTAGATGAATAAATAACAGTTCATTTAGATTTTATAGTACGAGAACACTATAGCATGAAATATGTTTTTGTTACAAATATTTTCCTGAACATTTTCCACCTGAGTTTTGTTTTCACAGCAAATGTGAGTATATGATATTTAAAATCATTTATTTATATTATTAGTAAAATCAAGAAAAAAGTATACATATTAGTTTAAATAACAATATTATATTAATAATAAAATGCAATTTATTCTTTTATTTCATTATTTTAAGTTTTTATTTTAGTATATTATCGTAGGAGAACATATGTCCAATGTTCGGTATTTCACCAAAATGTTATCTCAGATAATAGTAAAATTATACAAATGTTATTAAGCTAACTGTCAAAAAATTATATTCTATGAGATCAAAAGTTATATCAATAAATGTTTACTATTAATGTAATAATGTGCTTCATTCTACTTTATATCACGTCATTAATAAATTGTAATGATGTACACTACTTGATTATATAACATAATAAAAACCAATAAATAACAGTACATTCGATACGCGCACTGACAACATGAATCAAATAATATATACTTAACCAAACAATAAACTATTGACAAACTAAATAGGTCAAATCCTCAAAGGACCTATCTAAGTTCAATCAAGTATCAAAGGTCAATCTCGCCATACTTTCCTGTATAAAAAGGACACAAAACTTTCTTCCACGCTTCTTGCCCATAGGTCGTCAGTGCGTATGTGTCGATCTCTTGGTTTTACGTGTGCACTGATCGTCGGGTACCTCCGAGGAACTTCTTGTAATGAACTAAGGGAGATTGTTTCTTTTTTTTTTTTTACGTTTAGAGTCTTCCGTGTAAGTGTCGAAGGGAGTTCATCATCAGCTCTCTGAACACTTTGTCTTTGCTGATTAATTTCAACCTCACTCTACTCTTATAATAGTCATAAGAAATTGCCTCATCTGCTACGGAATAAGTAAGTGCTATTTTATTTACTTTGCAAGAACATCCAGTTGCACTAATAGGCTTTCTAATTTTTGTAACCCCTAAGAGTCTTCTCTTAATGAAGGAATAAGGTTATCAATCAACTTACTTTTCGGGTTATTCCATTATAGATGTTATTTTATAATTCTCTTAGATTTATTTACATCATTAGTTTTCTTATTTAATTGTATATAAAAACCGAAGTCATCAGTTGCTATTTTACTATTTATTCTTTTGTGAAAAAATAAGAATGTAACTGATTTTCTAAGAAATAAATTGCTAAAGGTTCTTATCTTAGAATATCATATTTTAAATGATAACATGATAACTAGATAATATAGTTCTACAATTTTATATTTTAAAATGCTATAAATTGTACTTAACTTAATCTTATTTTCAAACTAAATAGAAATAATTGAGAACAAAAAAATGTATTAATTAAATAGATCATGTTAAATTTACAATATATATTTATATATAATTTTATCATCAGTTTATGATATATCTAACATAATTTTTAATTAAAAAAAAATGAAGTATATGAATACATTTGAATTCCTTGACTGAATTGAAAATTGAAAATTAATAAAAATATTAAAAAAACATTATAGCTGTGCAATCTACGTACTTGTAGACTTTATATACTAAGTGTAATTTAACCATGTACAGATAATTAATTTGATTCAATAAAAATCATGAATGCATAAAATGGTAACGATAATTATTGTTTAAACTGTAATTCATCGATCACATAAATATTTTGTATTTTTATTCCATCAATAGCTTTGTTTATTATTGATTTGTTATTTTCGTATAAAACCTACTCCTATAACAAAGTAAAAAGACAATTTAACTGAATCGAAATTTATTAATACTGTTATTGTTTATTACAGTGCCAGTGGGATTTTATTAAGTTAATGTGCAATATTTTAATTTAAAATTGTATATTACATTGAACCTGTATGTAAATATGTATATATAAAGAGATACTGAATATCATTACTTGAGTTACACAAAGATATTAATGGTTTTAATGCGTTTCGAGAAAGTTCTAGGTATTAAACTTAATACGTACAGTTAATTTGCAATAATATAAATAAGTTTGAAAAGTAATAACAATAGGAAAAATTAACTTTTGTAATTTTATCTTATCGGCAAAAGGTTATACAAAACTCAGCTATTTAGATCCACACTGAAAAACAAAAATAAAAAAAAAATTCCCAAACCTAATGACAAAATGTCAACAAATACCAAGTTGCAAAAACAGTAACTATAATATTCTAAAAACACCCTACCCCCAGCACAAAAAATAAAAAATAAAAATAAATATTATCGTAAGAAAACTTTTCAAATGATAATAAAAAAAAACTATATATATTAGAAGGTTTAAAATAATGACTACCGGAACATTAATAAAATGTACACAACCACAGCATCCAATAAGTAATGTTCTATATTTTCGTCGGCACTATAAACTTGCGAGGTCCTGTAACGAAAATGTTAGCGGAACCTTAGTGACGTTTTATTTTTATTTTCTCTTTTTACGTTAAAAACAGTAGTATCATTGACCGAAGAATAAATACATTGCCAACAACTTTTTGGTTTTATTAATACTACACAGTGTGTAGTACACACTTTACGATGAGATACATGTTGTAAAGGTGCCCAATGTAATATAGCTATATATAATACATAGTACATAATTCTTAAGTGAACTTTTAGGCCTTGCTTTTCCTGTTTCGGATCTAGTGAATTAATAATGGTATGGTGGTGAGATTTTTATGACACTCAAACAATTGTATATTTTAACGTTTCGTAAAATAAAAAAACGTAAATTAAATATTCTCGTTTAACACTTAAATTTATATTATATTTATAACTTAAAAACAATTATAATTTGAAATAATTTAATTGCATAGTAGTACATTATAATATAATACCAAACATTTCTAGTTCAATTAATAATTTAATAAAAATATTTGTAAATAAATCAACTAATGCGCAATTGTTTGCAACTTATACAAACAGTGTAGCGATCATCATCCTGTGCAAACGCTTATGAGTATATAATACTATTCACAGTGTAAACGTTAAAATACTTCCTTATTTTTGACAGTTAAATAAACGATTTTTTTTTTTTTTTAATCCAAATACAATATTAATTTATTATATTACACGTTTAACGGTATCATTTATTTCAAACAAATGTTTTATGGAACTTAGATTCATTGAAAAATTTATATAATCATATTTAGGCACTTAACCTGGAAAAGGATAAACACTCGCTACCTATCCCGAGTCGACTTCAACATCCACGTTCTGAACATCTAAAACCACATTTTTTATTTATTTATTTTTTAATACCTTTTACGTCCATGGATGTTTTAAAGGCATGTCAAAAAAATAAAAGAAATAATGGGATTTAAAATATGACCCTGCAGGTGGTCATATATTATATAACTATATATCGTTCCGATCAGTAACGTTTGCAAGAACGAAGCAAGATACACCGGAGAAAATTAAACAATTTAAATAACGATTACCCTAATAAATTAATAATAATTATAATAACAAATAGTTAAATTAAATTATATTGATAACTTCAAAAGTCCAAAAACATTAAAACATACTGTACGCGGAGTGTCTAAACCTCATCGAACAATATTTTCAAAAATCCATACGAGTCTGTTAATAACCAAATATTACATGGTTTTATTGAGACGTAAAACGAAACGCAATCTCCATGATAATATTCTATACACCCGTCTACGATTAATGGAATGACTAATAATTACTACGGTTTTACGTGAAAGTTTCATAGAACTGAACGAAGTCTAGAATAGGTGTGACGATGTTTGTTTACAATATTTAATTCACGTACAAGGATAGCTGTGACCTCAGGGACGTAGCTACGGGTGGAGGAGGGGTTAAAACCCCCTCCTTTAATGGGTTGAAAAATTCTAGTTTATTATAAAAAAAAAAAAAATGTTTCTTTTTAAACTTTTTTTTTCACATAAATGAATAAATACTAAATATATTAGTATAGTAAATATATATTATTATTCCCCAGGTGTATAATAGTGCCTGAAATGCATTGCATGATATAGATAAAATCGATAATATCTACATCGAGGTGCATTTTGATAAATGATAATTGATAAGAGTTACAAATTTGGAAACAAAAACTCAAAAGGCTCAAAGTAACAAACAGTGATGGGATGCTGCCTTCTAATGCATTGGTTGCCATCAGGTGTTGTGGCCCTATCATATTCCCAAATATATTTATGTTACTAAACATTTTGTGTTGTCTTCCTGTTTCTACTTCAACACCAAAAAGATCTATTTTTTGCTTAAAAAGAATAAAGATCTACCTCAGAAAGAGTATGAATGAGATATGTTTGTTATTTGTTTTAATATAATTATTTAATTGTAATTGTTTTTGCTGAATTTTTTTTTTTTTGATGCTTAATATAGGCC